CATTGCTCACATTGGAGAATTGTCTGTGGTGGCCCAGGTGGGGCTGGGGTGAAATCCACTGTCTCCAGCATGTGCCCAGGGGATGGTGGCAGCCCCTCACTGACTCCAGGTTGGCCCTGCAGATCTAAGGCTGACTGTGTTTCAGCCCAGATAGCCACCACTAAGTTTTAGATCAGTGCCCGGCTGAGGCATCAGGGGCCGGTCCTTCACTGTTTCCAGGGCAGCCTCATGGGCCAGATCGAACCACATCAAGGGCTGGATGTGGCCCCTGGGCCTTTAGTTTGATACCCCTGTTCTAAATGGTGCTAAAGACCTGGCTATTCTTCCAGATTTTAGGGAAGTGTAGTTGATAAGCCTCTGTAAGGTTTTGTTCTAAATGAGCTTATTTGGAGGATGCAAAAATTAATGGAAGTAGCAACTAGATGCAGATTCCCCTGGGGCTCCTAAGGGAGCTTGCTGTCTTCAGCATAGGTATCACTTATTACTGGAATAGAAGAAGCCACCCTTAGACCATAAGACTGCAACCCAAATACAGTCAAAATATACGTCTGCTGCAACTGCCCCTTTGGCATAGCAGCCAGCCTTCAATACTGGGGACCTGTAGAGATTCTGCAGTGATGTAAGCAGCTTGGTAGATACATAATTCCTTCACAAGGACACATGTCCAAAAGGAAAGTTTCCTTGTGTGAGACTGTGCTCTTGTGAATCAAAACAAGCATGCCTGTCCCTTTTTCCTAATTACAACTTCTCAAAGCACATGGTTTTAATATAAAATCCTATTCCAGGGATGTTCATCCATCAGAAAATGACATAGGACTTAGTGTCCTGGGAAATCTTATTTACAATGGACTTACTTCAATGCATTCTTATCAGCCTCAGCCTCTACTTCACCCCATATTTCAGACCCAGAGGCTGAAAAAGCCTTTTGATCAAACCACATGCACAAGTTACCACAGGGCTAAGCACAACCAGATCTTACTAATCCAAGTTGGGTGCTCTCCAGATGTGTACAGCTACAGCTTACAGGACAGCAAAAATACATAAGGCACATCAACTTGTTATATCACTTAAAGCTTATCCAAGCAATGCTTCCATTTTCAGGGAGATTGGGAGCTAAATAATGTGAGTGAGACAGAATTTATTGAAGGTTAACAGGCAACCAGAACTGCTTAGGATATCAGCATCACATCCTCCAATGAACAAAACAAGAGTTATTTCCAAGTTTCCAGTTACATGGATGGATGAAGTTGAACCAGCAGTTGTCAAAGATATAAGCCATCTCCAAAATATTTGCCAGAAACATGAAAGCTGCAGATACTTCAGACATCCACTAGCCCGTATCTTCACTGGATGTCAAGCTTGTCCAAACTAAACTTCATGAACTTCACTTTTCATCAAATTCATGAAAAGTGTAATAAATAGTGAGCTGCTCTAAGTCAAAATTCCCACAATCTTCTCAAATGTACCTAAAGACAGAGAATCTCCCATGTAGGCTTAATTGGAACTGTAATGGTGAAAAGAAACAAGATCTCTTGATTTCTATATTTTTTTAATCTCAGCATACCAATCATAGCTCTCTGATGCTGTGCACAGTGGTTGATCTCCAGACTTCTGAACTGGTTTAGTACTAGCAATAGCTATTGAAGGCTTGTTCTTGCTCCATCATGGTATTAACCGGGTACAGATATGTACAACTATTTAGTTCTTGTGCTCCCACCTTAACAAGAAGGGTTTTCTTCACAACCTGATTAGCCCAGGCACAGGCACAGGTTGTGGTTTAGATGGTTCAGCCACATGTTATATACCATGGGAGAAATATCATCGATGTAGCTATCCAAATGATCATGTACAATTGTTGCTTGGATCATGATTTGGAGTAATCCAGACCTTCTTTCTGACTAAAGACTTTCTTTCTCTAGTCCAGCCAATAAGATTCAAATGTTTTATAGTCTCTTTATGGTAACCCAGATCATCCAGAGGTGGCAGGATGAATCCTGAGAGTCTCCATATTTATAATAAACCTCTTCCAAACGAAGAGACACTGTTTGTCATGCCCCTGGTGAAGACTGACTCTGAGGGAGAGGAAGAACAGCTGACAGGGAGTGGAAGTGTGGCTCCGGAGATTGTGGAGGAGGCTGAGCAGTCAGAGGAGGACCCAGACTCATCCCCTATCCATTCTAGGGCACGCAGGCAGGAGAGCAGGGAGGAGAGGATAAGGGAGAGACGTGGTATCCTCAGGAAGAGAGGACCTTGATCCTCTTCATGGGCTGCAGATGTGAGAACTGAATAAGAGTTTGGACCTGCGTATTGGCAAACCCTGGAAACAAAGCATGTTTTATTTTGGTCTGAAGTTATCTTGGTTGGCGTCCTTCCAATAGACTGTGCCTTGTTATGTCCTTGAATTTGGTAAATACTTCTCTTGTTCCATTGTGGACATTTCATCATTGTAGTTTGTTTGGTGTTTCATTTCACCTCTATCTGCTCATTAAATTTGGACTGTATTGCTTTCTTTTGAAGACTATTTCTGAGTACCTTTTTTCTCCAACTGAGTATTATTGAACAGTGGGGCCAAACTGGAGGCATTAAAGGACATTTATTTACATTTTGGAATTTTGTTACATTTGTGTTATTCTCTGGGTCATCACACTGTTGTGGTTTGGAAAGCAAGGTTTCCCATCCTGAGGCCTCCTTTACCTCCTAAAATAATTTTGTAGAAAAGCTGGGATGGTTTATAGATAAATATGGTAGCAATGGAAATCAGAACTGGACAAATTCTGGCTCTGCTGTTCTCTCTCATCTCGGGCTGCTTTTCACGCTCAAGTTAGGGAAAAGATGAGCAGGCAGGCCAACGGCAATCCAATAGAAAGGGATGCTACCACATGTTCTTTTTCACTTCTGACATCTTGTATACCTGGTTCTTACAAATGAGACACCAAATTCCAAAGCTCTTGGCAGCAATCATAGACTCTAAAAATTAGTGCTGTTCTCCAAATATGGATCCTTCAGTTACCAAATAGAGCATCATATGTGTACTAGAATAATGAATCAGCAGGCTGGCATACCTACAACTTTACAGAATTAAAAATAAAATAAAACGCACACCTCTTGGGCAAAGACCCATGAGAACAGCCAATCATTAAAACTGGGATCTGAAATTAGATGAAAGGGAAATGAAATGGGGTCAATTCTCCAGGAGAGTATCACCTCTTATGCAGAAAGCCTGTGTACTGGAGACATTTTATTGTACTCCACAGTGGTAAAGTTGAATTTAGGGGATCCTGAAGTGACATGGCTGTAGGTAGGAAAGGGAAGAAAGTTCATGAGAACTGCTCAGGGCAGGAAAAGGAAGTATAAAATCCAAGGACTATTTTGGAGTTGTCTTCAGGAAATGCTATGCCCCACTTTCGTTCCTAAAACAGATGTGACAAAAGCAGCCATAAAATGGCACCAGATGCCTATCTGCAAAAGTTGAGAAAAGTCAGGCTTGCTTCTAAGATCCATGTGTGTCTGAAAAGGTTCCAAGAATGAGAATTACCTGAGCCGTATCCAAAAAAAATCAGACAGCAAGACCTTCTTTACTGGAAGATAAAGATTTACTTAGGATGCCATTTATATGTGAAAAGCTTGCTTACCTTGAATTATTTATCACATTTTTTATTTCTTTTATTAAAACAATTTAAAAAAACATACTGGTTTTTTTTAAAATAGACCAGGGAGAAGAAATCAAAAGCCTGAGTGAAGTAAGACTTTCTGATGATTTTAGTGGTCAACTAGGTTTGTAATGAATATCCACTCTGTTGGATATTCAGATCCCAAGTTGTTTAAGGACTTATAAACATAAGCAAATAGTTGAACCTGACTCAGTTGCTGATTGATGCAGTTGATTCAGCAAAAACAAGTACACAACCAGCTGTCCCATTCCAAAAAATGATTGCCAGCTATAGCAGAGAACATTAAAATATTAAAACAGGAGATCACCAATGCATAATAAACACGATTCCCAGGAAAAAGTAGAATTGAAAGAGTAACTGAAAGGTACAACAGAATACTTGAACTTGTTTCATTAGTGGTTTCTTGGAGCACCTTCCAACCATATTTTGAGAGTGCTAGACACATCCATCCAGTTCCCAGTTCCTATATCTGGCAACCAACCATGCAAAAGATCTCAATCTTCCCCAGGATTCAGATTGTTTATTGGCTTTCAGCCACCCAATTGCCATATCTGGATTTTAATAGAGAGTTGTTCATTTTATTTTTAAACACAAAAATGTAGTTTTGAAGTTATAGGAGCCTCTTCTTTGCCTTAGTTTCCAGAATGCAAATAAAAGCAGATATTCCACAGCCATCAAAACTCACCCATTTTTGGTTTGTATAAAAACTCAAATGGGTAGGATTAGTATTATACAGCCATAGCCACAATCTTAACTTTTTATATACCCCATATACATCCCTTGACTCTGTGCTGCATACATTCTGGTACTTTTAACAAAATCTGGGGATAAACATCTGGGTTTACCTATAAGATCATCTGGACTAGCCTGATAATCCAACCAAATGTGAAGAGAGTCAGATTAAGAAAAACTAATCTATAGCATATTGCTAGAGGTTTTTTCTTTCCTAGTGCAAGATCAAAATAACTGAAACCTTCATACACATTTTTGCTTTGAATTGTTGAATTTTTTTAATGAAGTAGCTCAGTAGATATGTAAAAATGGGCAATTGTGTTCTCCTAAAAAATACATTGCTTTTTGTGTAGCCATATGCCTTTATCTCTTTGTAGTCTCTTGCCAAACTAATACAGTACTAACGTGCCACAACATAGAATTTGAACCTTCCCCAAATCCAAACTACCCTGTTACAGTATAAGAGAGGAAAAAACAACTTGGTACTGCTAGAAAATTACCAACAGCACATCACAGAAATACTTTAAGAAGTTCTATCACATGTAGGTTGGATTCTTTGCCTACTGTTATTTTTTTATTTTTTTTTTCATACATGCATGAAAGAGATGCCTAAATTGTAGCATCTGAATGAAAAGCAGAAGGTTGGTAAGAATTACCACAAACATCTGATTGGTGCAATGCAGAAGGCAGTTCGTAATTTGGTTCTTAACCATTATTGTCTAAAAACAGGACAAACAGATCTATAAAAGCTCAGTAAACATGTCAATGAAGTAGGTGAAGTGTGAGCCATGCCAACAGAGCAGCCTGTCCAAAATTTGGACTTTGGCAACAAACAAATGAAGCCATCCTTTCTCACACTCAAGAGGCCCTCATTGTGCCTCCACATCCCCTGGAAATCATTGGCCATTGGGTAATACTGTATAAAGGTTAAGAAGTAGGACTTGGACTGGAAAACTTCATTCAGTTTCAAGTTCCCCATCAATCATGAAGTTCACTGAATGATTCTGGGCCACAACTTTCAGGCTTTCAAGAGGGTGGGGCAGGGTGATCAATTTACATGACTATACACTGTCCTGAATAATGTTTCTCAACCTTAACAATTTTAAAAGGTCTCAACTTGCTGGGGAATTCTGACAGTAGAAGCTCCAGTATCTTTAAGTTGCTAAGGTTGAAAAAAAAAAGCCTGGCCATTTCTTACTTCCCAAAGAAATATGAGATTATAATGTATTAAGTAAAATTGACATTTAAAGTTTTGAAATGACACCATTTATCCAGGCAGTCCAAGAAACCATGGCTCCTTTCAGCAATCTCAATTGTTTCATGGACCTAGGCCTATTCAGGATCTTGGGGCGGGGTGGCGTGGAGAGAAAACTTATTAATAACAGGTTCACAACTTTAGGTTAAAATCCAATGTACATTTACTTATTTGTGATTAATCAGACATAAAATTAAACTGTCAGTACTTCAAATACTCAACAGATGGGATTTCCTTTTGCATAACAATGAAGGTTCTTCATCTTTCTGGTTTAAGATTATTTCCTAAGGCTAGCATTCAGTCCAGCAATAAACTTAAAATCTGAACTTCCCATTACCAAGACTGCATCCAAAGTCAGATGGACCACATCAACTTGAGAATTCAAGAGGTGGGGGCAGGCCAAAGATGGTCTCCTGGAGCTCCATTAATCCTTGCTACATTGAAATAACACTGATTTATTTTAGGATATGTGGGGGGGGGGGAGGAAGGAACTTAATCCACAATGATAGATAGCAGCCTTGAAATGCTTCTCTTTGGATGAAATTCTTCTCAGGGTATCCAAGAAGCCTTACCTGTCAGAGACTGTAGACTGAACAAGAGGAAACATTGAACTCCGGGTTCTAGATTTATTTCAGGATGGAAAATGGGTTTATATTGTTCTTTTGGAAAGCTCATTTTTCAACACACACCACACTTTTGAAAACCCTTTTTCATAAGGCACGGCAGATAATAAATTATAGGAGAAAAAAATCTTCCACATTTCTAGTAAGATTCTAAAAAGAAAAAAAAATAAACCTTATCCAAAATCTAGAAAAAATGTAGGCAGCCTGCAGTATATTGGTATTTGCAGTACTCCCAAAATGCTGTATTTGTTTGTACCAAAACAAAATATTTATTACAAGTTACAAAGCAATCTTTAGTGGAATTACACAAAATTAATCACTATTCACTTACAGGAATGCATCTATTCTCTTTTCCATTCCCACATCTTAGCAGCAAATAGGGAAGTTCCCATTTCTAAAACCATCTATCCATATTTTACCTGTTTTCATAGCACAGTAATAAAAGCAGAAGGGGAAATCTGTTTTTTTTAAAAAAATGAAAACTATTTTACATTAATATTCTAGTGAGAGGCTGTAAAACAGCTGATGTGCATTCTAGATTATGCATTCTTGGGATTAAAAATGAGTTCTTCAAAACTTTTTATTTTTCTCTGGAAGAACTTTTTTTTTTTTTACATTGGAGCAAATCTGATCCAAACCAATACCAGGAAGTAGGGACAGGAGAGAGGAGTCAATACTTTTCTTTTATCTACCACCCACCTCCTCTTTTTAAAAAAAAATTTATAGGCAAGAACAATGTCCTGGGCTACAGCTATTGCCTTTAGCTTTGAACAATGTCTGTAATCTCCAAAGAGTGTTCTAAATTCCGAGGGTGCCAAAGGTTAGTACTTTCCTTTGCAATATGTCAATTGCCCATTTAAAAAAAACACTAATCAATTGATGTGAAACAGGACAGGAAACCTGGTGGGTCCAGAGAACTGCTCTTTAGCCACACTTGGTCACACCGTTAGGTATCCATGCTGTCTTTCACTTATTATCTAAAGATGATCACACATCTATTTTTTTCTTCTACTGCATGTATGTGAATGGATGGAAAGATGATACCATGAAGCAGTCTGTGCCCTTCAGATTACGTTAGGCTATGACTCAGAGCCTTCCCAGCCACTGTGGATACTGATGTTTATAGTCCAAGACAGCTGGCAGGTAAAAGGTTGAACATGCCATTGCATAGCACAGGTGGAAGAGAAACGATTCAAAGTCTAAGTGATACGAGCAGTGAAGAACCACCTGAAATGAATTCTTTGCCGTTTTTCTAATTTACACATTTGTACATGCAATTACTATATGCCCTTATTTCTGTTAAAAGTTAGAATTCATGACTTTACAATAAGAGGCACATCCTAATCAACCTGTTTTTTTAAACCTCAAGATCTTTAATCAATTTCTTAGGCAACTACTCATGTATTTATTTATTTAGAAAATGTATATTGCCGCCTACTCGCGCATGGTGACTCAAGGCGGCTTAAAGGACATAAAAACACTTATCCCAAAGTTGAGCTAAAATGGATTCCTAGACAGCAGAAGTTTTCAGCACCTCGACCATCAGGTAACTGGGAAGTTTTCAACTTGGCATCTTACACAAGACTTGAAACAAATTTGGTAGCCATCTACAGGCCTCTCATGTCAGTTTTATTTATCGGATTTCCCAGATGGTAACTATGGACTCCAGTGAGGCCAATTCAGATACAATGGTGTTGTGGAAGTACCAACATCAATATTTATCTATCAGGAGGAAATCAAAACTTTTGTATCTTCAATTATCTACAGTTCCTCTGATACCAATGCAAGTACACTTAGTGGAAAGAAACCAGCAATCCTACAGGTAGGTTAGTTCTGTGAATTTGCTGCAGCATAATCACAAAGATACTAAGGGATTAAAAATTATTTGATTTGTCAATTACCTCCACTTCATCAGATGCATACAATATTCATTTGATATGGGCCTCTGATTGCAATGCTGCAATTTAGGCAACATGATTAATCAAAATATGGTTTGTTAAACACCTCTTAACATGGCTTATTAAACAAGTCCCAATAGCCTAATTCATACAAAACTCTTAACCCAAATGTCTGGTCATGTATCATACGAAGTCTAAAATAAACAAAAGTACATTGCAACAGAAGAAAATCTGTATAGTGGTAAAAGAAATATGGAAGATAACGGATGACAAATTACTAACCCGATATTTATAAGAGTTGTTCAGGGTGATGCAGAAATTCTTGCTGGAGTGCAGTCACATGATCTAGGATCTATAATCCTGGTTTAGTTTTGGTTATCTCTCAGGCATCTGATATGAGGTAGCCATCATATTACTTTTGCATGATACAGGTGATGCAAAATAAATTACTGGTGGTTTGTAGAAGGGAGAGAAGTCAATGACCCATTTGATCAGTGCTAAGCTATGGTTAGCACCAGCCATGGTGTGCTAATGATCCTGTAGTGTAGTGTTTTTTTTTAAGATAAAAATCTATTCCAACATGTTTTATTCCTGGCATTTAAAAAATCTGCTTTTAAAAATTAGAATTCCCATTCAGATGTTATAGTGAAATGTAGTTAGTTTATAAACAAAAGTTAATAATTGGGTTATTTTATCCTAGCACATGAATGTATCTATCTATATAAAAAAGAGAGCCATGTGGAAAAAGAATACTTGAAATCAAGGCTCATCCAGGAATGATAAAGAATTATTTCTTAAGTTCAAACATAGGTTGATCATACTTTAAATGCAAAGGGCTACATCAAAAGCAAGGAAGAAAAATTAGACAGAAAAAACAAGCTACTAAAGTAGCCCAATTATAGTTTAAATTAATCTCTGTATTGCATTACTTAATTAGAACAGGAATCCCCAAAACAGATGTGCAATTACATAATAAATCTACAACAGTTCAGATGCAGTTTAGTTTAATCTATTGCAAGGAAAGGCTCTCTTGGTTTTGTTTTTCTTTGCATGGTCCTAAAGTCACCCAAGCCACCAAAATAAGTGGCATTTAGCCAAAGTTCAGTTTATTCAAATATGGAAGACCAAATAAAACTTGTACAAAAGCATGTCCTCCAAGTAGTTATGAGCACTGGTAAATCAGTGTTTGCTATCATTTATTGCTACATGAACATTGCCGGTAAAAGATTTGGCATCTTTTGAAGGAAAGTCATTTCCCAACAACTACGCACATTTACTCAGAGTAAATTTCCTGACTTAAAAAAAAATAGAACTTTCTGGAATTTTGAACAGATGTTTTTTTTTTTTCATTCCAGTTTATCTTACATGAGCAAATATTATTTCAATGACACAGATTTGTGATACCTGACTCAGCAAAGAAGACTAAAAATTAGTTGAGATTATCTTATGGCAAAAAGTTTCCATGTGAATTTAAACAAGATTTCCTCAGATTAGAACCTTTCATGTTATAGATTACAACTGACCAATGGTAAGTCAGACTAGCCCTGATTTGCACCGTATTTCTGCAGATATTGATGCCTCTTTGAATAAACTGTCATATATCCTCTATAAATAGAAAAGAAGCCCATTGCTATTCAAAATATGATTTCTTCTTTTTTCCAAGCCAACAAGCATGCGCATTTCATGGTGTAAAAGGGATCTGTCAGTCGGGGTATACAAGGAAGATACAATTTTGCACAGCTGCTCTATTTGTTATGACATCCCCACACTGTGCATGAAGTAGGCATATCGTTTTTAAGAAAAATATATCAGATTCACGTGCAGTTTCTGCTAATTTAGCTGCACCATGTACATTTCAGAAATGGGCTGAAGCCTACAAGACTAAAAATGCAGGCAGGAAAATTCTCTGTTTTGAGCCAAATGTCCTAAGAGGCACAGTTTTAGACATCCACTTGGAAAACAATAATTTGACTAGGTGGTAGTCCTCACGCTCGTTGTGCAGACGTCTTAGGAGAACCCTTCCTACACCTGTATACAGTGAATTCATGGTTCAACTTTCAGTTCCAAAGTGTAGGCCCAGCGGTACTCAACAAAGAAACTACCACTAGTGGGAAAACCCTCAGTTTGGTCAACCTCAGCTTCTCAGCTCACGCTCTTCTCCATCTCCTTTGGAAAGAGATAATTTTAGCAGCATGTTTAGGGGTAGATCTTCACTGTGCACTCTGGAATAGAGAAAGATTCTCAGCCAAAGTCACCTCAAACCGCCCTCAGTGATTAAACCACCATTTCCAAGGCCTTTGTAAAACAAAAACAAAAAAATCCCTCCACCCTATACAAAACAACAATATTTTTTCCACCAGGACTTGGAGAGGTTTTTCATCTTGTCTGGAGTCCTGTTTTTGGATTTCTTTGGCTGTTGCTGAGTATCCGAGTAGTGAATGCCAGCCACAATGGCTGCATCAAAGACTTCTTTGAGGTTTTTCTGAGTCAGAGCGGAGCACTCGATGTAAGAGGCGGCTTTTATTTCCTCGGCACACAGCCTTGCGGCTTCCTCTGCCACAGGCTTCTCTTTGCATTTGTCAAGCTCAATGAGTACTTTGACGTCTTCTCGGAGGTCCGATTGGGTCCCGACGAGAATAATAGGGGCCTTGGGGCAGTGACATCGGATTTCAGGGACCCATTTCTCGGTCACATTCTGGAAAGATGAAGGGCTCACTACACTGAAGCACAGCAAAAAGATGTCTGTGTTGGTGTAGCACAGTGGGCGGAGCTTGTCAAATTCATCCTGTGTGAAAATAAAAGTAAGGTGAATAGTAACTTTATAGAGTAAAAAAAGGGTCTTTCTATGTTCCCTAAAAGCAATGTGCAGGATACAAAGTGGGGGTTTTCCTTACTGATATATAGCAAAATCATTCTTATCAGCTACTAAATGAGCACAAAACATGTTCTATAAAAATAACAACCATAATTGTTTTGCAAGGGAGAGCCATTCCCATCCACTGTACCAAGGTGGCATGTAGCAAGTTGTCTGAATGTTGGCTCAGAGAGAAGGAAAGAGGACATGGAAGGCAAAAATCCCTGAACAGAGAAAACTAACAACTGTAGAGGAAATTACAACTCCATGACACAATTTTATTTTTGCTGTTTCATATGGAAAATTATTTAGTTGTGCACTGTGACACAACTACTGGGCAAAACCTCAAAGAGACTGTCCCATGTGGTTCCACAATAGAGAAGTGAGCGCACAACCAGGTACAGCATTCAGCATCACCATTAGCTGGCAACCATATTTGGAAAACAGAATTGATTCAAGGGATTGGCTTTGCTATGATGCAACCTTTGTTCATTCATTTCAAAGAGGCAGCCTTTTAACAGAAGGCAGGAACTATTGTTGATGTTGGGAGAACAGAAATTACAGGTGGTTCTCATGATCTGTGGGGCCATATACCCATGGTGCATATGTACGGTTGTTGAATGTACATTTCACCTATTGTGGTTGATAGGTGTACGTTTCACCTATTGTGGGCTTTCCCTTGCTTTTTGCTACTTTATGCACATGCAAAAAGTGTGTGTGTGTGTGTCAGTCAGGGTTTGACATACACACAAAGTATTTATTAATGTCTTGTTATCCATGATCATGAGGTGAGAATGGAACTCCCCTCCAAGACCGCAAGGGTAACCTCTGTACAATATGGATTGAATACCTATATGAATTAGAGAAAATGGAAGAACTAGAGACCTTCATGAACTGAAGAATCATAAAGTATTAAAAGTATTAAAAATATTTGAATTGGAAAAAAAAACACTGCCATATATAATCACATTCAATTGAAGAAGACTTGCCTGACGTATCTCAGGGATCAAAATCATAAAATGGCCATAAACTGCCAATGCAAAAGATATTTAATGCCATGGCACAAAATTTGTGAAGGGGTCATATCTATGCTACTGTTTGTTGTCTTTTTAATAGTTGCTTTGGTGAAGTTAATTATTAATGGACTATTTTAGCTTTTTACACCACTCCAGAACCACTTTGATAAGGGATGGTGGGGACAGAGAATGAATAAATACACAAACACCAGACAAATTTTGTTTCAGCTTAAATCTGTTACCTTAAACTATATCATAACATTTATAAATTAATTAATAATTAATAATTAATTAATAATTATTAATTATTTTAATTTATTATTTAATCTAAAGAGAATAGCATGCTATTATGATCCATGGGCATGAGATTTATCAATAGTGTCCTTTCCACCCTCCTTCCTTTAATGCTTTGGAGGTAGCAAACTGAATGTCTGCATAACTAAGGCCTGCATATATAGATCAAATAAATTGAATAAATCAGAATTCTGGAATTTAAGTTGACTCAAAACATATTCCTTGAAATACAACTGCTAGGATTGCATTTCACATTGAGCCATTGTTTTTTTTTTTTTTTGTGGACAAACCACCAGGGACTGCTTCTTTCATACAATAAATGTTAAAATAAGCTCTGGTTACCCACACTCTTGATAAAATTATAGTTTAACATAAAATTTGAAACAAGCCAAAATGAATTTTGTATCTGGTGAAGTATTGGCTCAAAATTAGTGCTCAAACCTTGGATGACTTTAATTGTTACTATTACAATGTGCACTTATTGCCACTGTAACTGGGTCTGTCCCTCTTGCCTCTGATCATCAACTTCTCCCTAGAGCCAGCTGATTGAGGAATTCTGGGAATTGAAGTCCATAAGTCTTAAAAGTTGCCATGGTTGGAGACCCCGGCCTTAGACCAAATGTTTCTCTACCCCCACCCCAGATCATGTGGCTCCTTAAAGAGACAGCCACAGACAAACCATGCATGCCCAAACTTAATCTGAAGCATCTTTTGCATCCCAAGAACAACACTCTTCTACTAGTCCATATTTACTTATCTTTCACTTCTCTGCACAGGGGAAATTTGTTTGTTTGTTTGTTCATCCATCCATCCATCCATCCATTTTTATTGAATAACAAAGAGTTTTGCTACTGAAGACAAAGTTGCTGGAAATTTGAAACTAATTTCTGGCAAATTTGACACACCAAGGGAAGAATACAGCATCCAAAAATCATGTTGATAATACAAACACCTGCTTTAGATTAATATTTACTATTGCCTTGTATTGCAATGATCTGCACTAAAAATAACCCCTTATACTTTCCTTCCCCAACTTCCTGCTTCAATACAATGAACGTTGTCTTATGCTCCATTTTGGAACTCTTTACACAATACGCTTTTGAAAAAGCTTGGCTTTTCTTGTTAGATCCGAACTCAACTTTCTTCTTGGAAAAAGAGAGATCTCAAAACTAAAAAGGGAACAGCCTGATAATTATACAAGTTCCAAGAGCTTAAAGTCGAGGAAAGTAAACAGAGGAAAATATTAACATGGCAACAATGGCCTCCTGAAGAGGTAGGATTTGTCTCTTGTGCTGGTATTTTAATTAAAACCCAGCAATGTTTGTCAGAGGGCCTTAAATTAACACGTGCAAAGAACAAACAAACACTCTCTGAAATATCCCTCCTGTGCCAACATTTTGCTGCCAAGGTGGAACTTGTTTATCGATTTACAAAGGGTTTTTTTGGTGGTTTGAGGTTTATATTTGAAAAAAAATACAGATGTGCAGCCCCCTTTTCACTTGAATTAATCTGCAGGAAAATTGAGATCTAGGTTTCATTAGCTCACTTATTTGACAGATGTAACTCCAAGAAAACAAAGAATAAAACAAAGCACTCATCTCTTGGCTAAGGAATCACGCATGTGGGGTGCCATATGGCAGCCATGTGTCCCTACAAGGTTTGCCGTTTTAAATAATTGCATAATTAGAAATCATGTTATGCGTCTTGCAGTTCAGGGGAACAATTGTAAATTTACACAACCGAGGAATAAATGGAGAGGTCAGAGCAAGGTAGAAATGTGAAAGCCCCTAGATAATCAAAGGCTCTTGTCTCATCCCTTATCATCACCAAACACACTCTAGAAACAGTCTTGCTTGACAAAAAAAATGGCATTAACATCCATAGTTCCAAGAGGCTTTCTAAAATCCAGGGGGAAAAGGTTACCAGGGTCTATAGCTGATGCTTCCTCTGACTTGATTATCTGATGTCAATCAGAAATAGTAAAATAAGTGTTATTTCTTACAATGCATGTCCCACCATGCTCATCATAAAATTCCAGGTGATTTTTTAGTCATTAAAAGGCAGTGAAACGTACAATCTGAATCACCCCTGAAAATTTCATAAAAACCATACTAAAAAAAATCCAGTCTCCACTACTTAAAAATCAAGATAACGACTAGCACTAGACTCCAAACCTTACAGAATAACAACATTGTAACTACCTTTCTTTATAACTAGGGGTGGGGGGATAGTCTCAAGGGAAGGTGTTTCCCCCAGGCAGGGACAGTAACTGAGCAAACCTGTTAAATTGGAAATGAATGCAGTGCCTGCAAGAATCTTATTATTGTGCTCAAGTGGTTCTTATGTGTCACCAGGTGTGCAGCAACAGTTTCCAAGTAATCCTGAAAGGGAGTTCTGGGTAAAGCACTTTGCATTAATCCAGAGGTCTCCAAGCTTGGCAACTTTAAGACTTGTGGACTTCAACTCCCAGAATCCTCCCTGGGAGTTGAAGTCCACAAGTCTTAAAAGTTGCCAAGTTTGGGGACCCCTGCGCTAATCTGATCTTGGAATAAGGCTATTTGAGCCCCTCATCCTGCAAACGTCTTCCATTAAAAGCACAGGAGCATTTTGGTAAGAAAATAGGAAGCACAGACAGCAGGCAAGGTTTAAGGACAAAACCCAAGGTTCTACTCTTTGAAGGACTTGAAGTCATATATGAGAGTCAGTTCGATGCAGTAGTTAGGGCACTAGGCTAGATATTGGGAGAGTGCTTTTTGGCCCTCTAGCAGGGTGACTCTGGGTCAGTCACTCTCTTTCAGCTCAAGAAAGAAAACAGTGACAACCCAATTCTAAAAACATTGCCAAGAAAACCGCAGGAACTTGTTGAGGCAGTTGCCAGGAATTAAACCTTCCTCTAAGAATGGATGGAGAGAGACAGAGAGACAGAAAGATCTCCATTACTGTTGATGGACATAAGTTTCCAAGACAGAGGAGCACAATGTAGCCCTCAAGGCTTGACTGGACCTAAGAGACCTCCAAAGTTTGTTACTGAACTCTAATATGTCATGTATCGGAAGAGGAAAATGTTTTAATGCATGACCCAGAGGGATATCACAATCACTTTTAATTCTAACTGGATATAATTGAAATGACCCTAGCTTAAGGTTTCTGTCCTGTTCCTATCCACTTTTTGGGTTTGAAAGCGAATGTAGCCTTCAGCCTAGAAAATGTTATGCAATCCTGCTATAACTCCAGCACACCAATGGCCAGCAAGGAACAAAAAAGCTCTTTCTCTGGATTCTGAATGGTAAATAGTGTCAGGCCCATATGTGCCCACAGGTACAAGTTCATTCTCTGCACTCTTTCTCTACCGCACTAATACATCTCCCACATACCGCATGCTTTCTTTCACACATGACACTCTTGCAAACCAATGAAGCAACTTTTCCTCTTCCCGAGGATATGTCGCTACCATATCCCGTTCAGGGAATGTCACTGTCTGGTGACAAAGAAGCCGTTATTACTTTGGGCCCTCAGGGAAACAAAAGAGCCACTTCCCAGCCATGGCTCAAGGAGCGAATGTGGGCTCCGGGGCTCCTCATGTCACCCTGGGAAACTGTCTGGGACACAGCGGCACTGCTCCCAGGCTATCACCACGGCAACCCAAGTGCCCAGCCAAAGGCTGCAGGTGAAGGTTCAGAAAAGCAGGCCAGGAGGTGGGCAAAATTAAGACAGTTCCTCAATGGCAGCTGCAAAAAGGTGGCGAAGGGTCTTAGGGCAAGTCTGACCTGGGAAACCAATGTGCCCCAGGGAAGCCCCTTCCCCCAAGGTTAAGGACTTCTGAGAATCTAGGAAGGTGGGATCTTTTAAAAGGAATCCAAGCTTGATTTTTTTTTTCCATCACAGATTTGCAGATGTGTGCTGATATATATGTGCGTGTGTGTGTGTGTGTGACACATATACTCACATACACACACAGCAGGAAAACCACTGTATCAATTATGTAAGCAGCTTTACTGACCTGCCCGGCTGTGTCACAGAGTTGGAGTCTCACTGGTCGGCCATCTACAGACACTACAGCTGAAATGGAAGGAAGTGGAGAGTCAGAAAAACTTTTACCCGTGAAGGAAGAATTACATCTGTCCTCCCTTGAATCATTTACCTTTGGACCAGGTTTGAGTCCACTTTAACAGCTTGCAGAGCCCCAAGTCAGCTTCTTCTCCCTATCCTCCCCCACTATTCCCAACAATTCCTGGGTTTACACAAGCCCTTCAGGGCTTCCAGTTTTGGTTACAGAGCAGAAAATTGGGACCGAAAGACATTTGCCCCCATACAAAAAGAGAGTTGTCCTAAACACAAAGGAGGATTTTGCTCTGCAAACACTCTCTAAACATGCTTGAAGATTGATTGGGGGAGGGGTCAGGTTCTGTTTTAAAAGCTTACAGACTGGGGAGCTCCTTCCCCAATGCTTTAAATCACAAAGGAGACAATACAAATATTTACATATTTCCCCTGTGGAGAAATCTTCTCTTATTCTGCTGTTGTTCTTTGTGGGTTAAGTTGAAGTCTGCCCCTCTCCCCACACCTACCCCTTATTCAAGGCTAAAGCTTCTCTCTGGGCACTTAAGAAATATGATTGATAATAAATAAATAGATGTTGCTTTTGGTTACTCTATCAATCTGCAACACTGATAGCAAAAGTGTGCCTTTCAAGTATTTAGAACAGCAGTATACTATACTATAAGAATAAGGCAATAGATGTAAACTCTCAAAAGCTGTACAAAATTGTACAAGTCAAATATTTCATTGGGAGTTTTTAACTGGTGAATTATAACAAACCACAACAATAGAAAAATATATACACTGGTGATTATACAATGATTTTTTTTAAAAAAACTAAATACGGTGATTAAAATAAACACGAAAAACAATGAATACAAAAGGTAAATTTTCCATTGTACAACCACAAGTTTACAAAGCTTATTATTTGGGAGTAAATTTCGCTAAATTCGAAGGAACGTATTGTCCAGTAAACTTAAAAGTGGCTTACAGGAAACAGGGCAATTTAGAGAACAGATAACGAACTCCTATTTTATATTTCCACAAAATTCCTTGTATTTTCACATCAGGTCAATATAAGAGTGCACGTCCTCCAATGCTGGCTGGAAAAACATGTTCCTGCACTGAAAGAAATACACACGAAACTCCCACAGTTGGAGCCCTCTATTTACTGTTCAGTGTTTGCTTTCAAGCACATAAAAGCTCTCTAAACCTTACAGAAAAGATTCAACTTAACACAGATACCGCCCTGGGGGAACCACCTTTTCAGAAGAAAAGTCAAGTAACAATGAAATATCTTTTTCCAAAGACAAGCATGGTGAGCCGGTGTTTTCAGAGCACCACCTTTTTTTTAAATTAAATAATTAGGGAAGTTGTCAGGGGCAATGTAATTACAAACATTCACAAAGCAGGCAGCAGAAAGCTTCCCCCACAATGGTTTTCAAGAAAAAACAAAAGGAAGTCTAAAGTAACCTGATGGGAAGAAGGGCAAGTAGGAGTTACCCTGTGTCTTAAAGGATAAGGATTATTATGAGTTAGCCCAAAGGATTTCCAAAGCAAGAAAGAAGGGCAATACTCTAGAAAATAAAGGAATAAGAAACCCAAGGCTAGACAACAGAGTGTAACTTCCCTGACCCTGAGATAACAGAGTAACACAGTTGAAAGGTCTAATCCAACTCCCTGCTATAGAAGTAGATAAATCTGAACTATGCCAACACACCCAAATTATTCAGTTTTATATGCTGTATCACACCTGCACTCCCTCTGGCAAGGATTAACAACATCCCTAAAGATTCTGATTTTAATGCAGTTAACAAGTTACTAGTCCTCATCACTGGAACTAGTGGAAAAATACAGATTAGGAGCGCATATTCCAAAATGAACTACAAAAAGAACACTTATTTTTTAATGTTGGGGGGAGGCAATAAATTCCCCTAAATGGACTGAAACTTCCCAATAAATGAGGGAAACATCATGCTAACCTCATAGTTTTAACAAGTGGCATATATATATGTGTGCCCATTTCTGACCTTCACTCTCGTTGATCCAGGCGAACAGATATGGCTGGTTTTGCACACGCGATTGTGTTGCGAGTCCTTGTTGTTACCGAATTTAACACCGGTAACAACAAGAACTCGCTACATAATCGCGTGTGCAAAACCAGCCGCATCTGTTCGCCTCTTAACTCCTGGATCAACGAGAGTAAAGGTCAGAAATGGGCTTGCCCGCCTTAAGGGAGAGAAGGAAGGTATCGTCTGCACTTCCAAAGGTTGGACAAACGACTCTCGCCGCTGCTTTGCACGCCGGCGTCTTCTCCAGGCACAGAAATGTGTGTGGCCTGCGCGAGCTTTTCTTCCCAGCACTCTCCCTCCCTTCCCCCCGACGTGAAAGAGCGATCAGGCCAGGCCAACCTTCACTTCCACGCGGACTTTTCCCTTCAGTCCGCGGGCACCGCCCCTTCCCCGAGCTGGAAGATTCAAAATCAAACCAGAGGAGACGCCGCCGAGCAAAAGCGGTCGAGGGAAAGCCGGACCGTCGGCTCGATCCCGGGCAGAGCTGAGATCGGGAGCGAGCGGAGGATAGGGTGTGTGTGTCTGTGTGTGCGAGCTCTTCCAGAAGAGGAACCGGAGAGCCGAGAAAACGCATGAAATGCTTTCATGGAAAATCCCACCGGGAACCGTCCCGTCCCAACCGACTGATTTACCTGAGAAATTGTCGAAGGCGGTAGGGATGTATTCCGTAGGGTAGCCGTTGGTGGTGTAACTCACCACCAGGCTGGTTTTCCCCACCGCGCCGTCTCCCACCAGCACACACTTGATGCTCCGCCGGGGCTCCGCTCCGATGGCTCCGGCCCCACCGCTCGCTCCAGCCCGGCAGCGGCTCCCCAAGGCAGCCCCCAGCGCCGCCGCTCGGCTGCTGCGGACCCGACGCGGAGGCACCGGAGGCACTTCGCAGCCGCCCGGCAGCGGCTTGCTGATGTAGCCGCTTTCGCCTTCTTGCTGCGGCGGCATCCGCCCGGCTCCGGTGCGGGAGAGCCCCAAAGACAAGGAGATCCGCCGAGCCACAGCCGCGGAAGGCAGCGGCGAGAAGCGCCGGGAGAAGCGATCGGGTCGACGGGGTGGGGTGAGGGGCGTGGGGGCAGGAGACGCGCCTGCTGGAGAAGAGAGCTTTTTTCCCAGACTCCCAGCCCCCGAAGCCTGCCTTCTTCCCGATCTCGGCAAGCTCCGGCACCTCAGACGTGCGATCTCTCGCTCCTTCGGCAGCAACAGCGAGCACAGCAGCCTTCGCTCGCGGGAAGACGACACGAGCAGCCAAAGGGATCGATCGGCCGCCAGATGACATAATCCCGAGAAAAACGAGCCAAAGAGGGCGGGCCAGGCCGGGACGGGCGGGGCTTGTCAGGAAGAAAGGACTTGGCCGGAAGGTGGCGCTCCAAATCACAGCGCCGCTCGACCGCGCGGGGTTCAGTTAAAGCGCGAAGAGGAGGCGAGGTCGCGGCGTGGACGCCCTCAATCCGGGCTGCGAATCTGGCCTCTGCCCATTGGCTTCTTTTCGAACGTTGACGACAAAATGGCTTATCTCTTTTGGCTGGACATTCCACCAAGGCCACGTAAGCCACGCCGCCTGCGCTGCTGGCCTTCGCGCCATCTCTTCGTTCCAGGCTTTTAGAAACGAGCAAAACAAACGAACTGCTCTTTCCGACGTTTCTTAAAACTTCGATTGTTCTTTCCGCAGTCGTTTCTTCGATCTCGGTTCCTTTTTTGGGGTGGGGGGGTGGGGTTGTTTTGTTTCTTTTCCATTTCCCCCCCCCCCCCGAAGGCTTTTTTTTTTTTTGCACGTAGCTTCTCTTTCTTCTTCCAGAACAATTATTGCATTCTTTTGGAAGAGGTAATCGATTTAAGATCGTTGCTACTGTAGGAAGTTAGCACCCACCCACTCTCCTAGAAAATCCTAGGAAATATTACAAAGGCAGAATATTTCCTCTAAAAAGAGTAGAAACTCAGAAGCAGAAACTCACCTTAGAAGCAGAAGCTCACCCCCACCTTTGTTAATGGTGGGCCATTAAGGCCTGGGCCAGAATACTTTACATAACAAAGATCTCCAGGTAAAGCTATAGCAATTGCTCAAAAGCCCTTTCAGGGCATCATGCAGCAAAGCTCAACCAAGCCTGGAATTCAGGACGGCCTACAGAGTTGCCCCTGGGAGTCTGACAACTGATCAGAATACAAGCTCCAATTCAAATCCCAACAGAGGGTATAAACCCCAGGCACTCTCAGCACCTCAGCCCTTTCTTGATCTCTTCCTTCAGCTTGAAGCATGTGGTCATCCTTCCTTTTCACTCTGGAGCCCCAGGCCACGTGGTCCTGATATCAAACCTTCCAAACAGCCTCCATGTTTCCAGTGTCTTTTTCCCCACTTGGAACTGAACCCAGAAGGATATTTCTTCCAACACTACAAAAAAATAATAATATTAAAACTTACAACACTCCTATTTTATATTACCACAAAATTCCTTGAAACAACACATTAAGGTGTAACGCTTATTTACGGAATTAGGACTTAAACACCCTAAACTTTCTAACATAATAAAATGTATTTTGGAGATTTTTTGGCCTGATGCTAGTAGCTCAAGCATATTTTCTAAGAACTAATATAAATCTCATTGAGGTTACCCTTCTGGCGACAGGATTTGGAATACTTGCTATATAGTGGTGTTGAGAACTCTGATATTCCAGGATTGACACACTAGTAGTATAAAGAAGTGTAATATGTGTGGGTGGGTGTGTCTTAGAGCAGGGGTCTCCAACCTTGGCAAAAATTTATTCGGGTTAGGGGAGTTGAAGTCCGCCAGGCTTAAAGTTGCCAAGGTTGGAGACCCTTGTCTTAGAGTAATAGGTAACCCTAACTATTCTAATGTATGTTAAATAATCGAGGAGCAAATGTGCCTGAATATCAGTGCTTCTTTCTCACCTGTCTCCAGTTCTTTTAAGACTTTGCATTTTTTAAATTGATTGCAGGTCAACTTCTAGTATGCAGGTTTTTTGGCAGTAATGCCAAATTCATTTGCCATTCCCTTATTGTCCATGTTTTCAATCTTTGCTGTTCTTTGCTTGTAAAAGTCTTCCATCAAAATGCTGATTTTACCATCCAAGTCCCATGCTAAGACAACCAATCCTGACTTATGTCCATTCCAAAAGTTAAGCAAAGCCAATCTTGGTTAATAGTAGAAGGGAGACCATTTGGGAAATCCAGGGTGGTAGGCTAGATTGTAGAAAAGTTAGGGGGATATCTGAAAAGGTAATGGAAAACCACTTTGCTTGGGGTTTAATTTTCTGTTTCAAGAAAACTAAATGGTTGTGTACAGGTATTGACTAGAGTTCAGGTTCCCTCTCTCATCTGTACACCCAAATGGGTGTGCAAGTATGTATACTTTTTAATGAAAATGTCATAAAGACTTTCAAAAGGGCATGGATTAGTGAATTATATTAGAAATATTTATGAATAACATTTAAAGAATGTTTTCTGTTCTCTTGCCATCATAGTCACAGAAAGTGCAGTAGAACAGAAGAGTGAATTGCAAATGCAAAAGAAAATGAACTTTCAGAAGTTGAGAAATTTCCAAATAAGCATTTGATTAAACCGAAATCAATTGATTAAACCGAACTCTCACCAATCATACTATAGTTTGGTGTGTGTTTTAATTAAGCCACTAAATTTAATGGGTTTTCCACATTTCCCTTCCAAATGTATGAGACTACAATTCCCATTGTTCGTTGCCAATGTCCAAGTCTAGAATAAAGAATTAATGGAATAAGGGCATGATTATCTCCAGATTATCACCAGGTAGACTATAGGAAATTGACACAAAGGTTGCAGTAGAATTGTTTGCAAATGTTGGGCATTGGGGCTGCTATAGTCTACCCATTTTCTGATTAGCAGAGGTGTGTTTCAGATGAGATTATATCTTCTCTGAGACTCTGGCTGATGTTTACCATCTAAGAAAAGAAACAAATAGTAGTCTATCTTGCTGCTATTGCTTATCTTGGTGAGACTTTTGCTGACTGTTTCATCTACCATGAGCTCAGATGCCAGAAATTTTGGTGTTCATACTGGGAATTATGCAAATATCACGAACTACATAAAGCACATCACATTTAGTGACAAAAGACAGTTTTATAACTCCCTCATTATTCCCATTACAACGTATTTGTCAGTGGGGAAAAATGCACCACCATAGAGAAAGATCATTCATATAGAAAAGGTTAACTGATCTTTTGGTTAAATAAATGATTTTCAGAATCCCATTGTGTAGAAGCAAAAATAACTGCAGAGATAAAATTACTTAATGAAATGATTGCGGACTATAGGCAAAACGTTCTGTGTTCATTTTTAAACATGTAGTCTAAGTTCAGCTTAAGAAACATGAGCATTCAACTTGTTCTTAAATGTTCAGAGTTGCTTTATTCTTCTGTGGCCAGTATTGAACTGTAATGTGTCTTTCAGAGTACAGTACACTAGTCTTTTGTTTAACAGGATGATCAACTAGCTGTTGTGCAACACCCCCACCTTTTTCCCCAGTACAGTATCAAGTTAAATCATTTTCTTGCGATGGTGAAATTAAAGAGACTTTGTTGGCGACATGACATTTCTATACTGTACAACGAAAGGCCTGTTTATGTGTAAGAATTATAGAACTCTTTCTGAAGATTTCTGAATACTGTACTTGAACCTTTGGTATGAACAATACATAGAAAGAAAGAAATGTGATTCAAATTTAGGGACAGAAGCCAGAAAACAAATGATCAGGTAGAATCAAGGGAGTTTTTTAGATTCAGTTATAGTTATAGACTAGGATTTATATTTGATCTCACTTCTAATGTTAGATATGACTACACTGGTTATGGATTGTTCCACTGCTTATGTGGCAAGCACAGATTAGATATGAAGTGCAGTCAGAATAGAACTCATTAATCACATATTAATTTGTAATAGGATCAGAACATCCTGCCGATTGCTTTCTCTGTATTGTTACTAGTGTAAGTTTACAATACCTTTTGTAAACTTAGCATAGATCACTTCTCCATATTTTTCACTAAGATTATATCACAAAGTTTTAAGTATTTGTTAGAATCCCTGTGTCTGAGGTTTTTTTTTCCTGTTCAGGAAAAATTGTAAGGAGAGCTTGTAGCTTTTAACATTTAAGAATTTGAATTAGGAATCTTAATATATTTCTATTGAATTACTTAATTATTAGCTATTCACTATAATGACAAACACAAAAACAGAAGAATATTTCTTCTTTCAAAACTAGCAACCTACATCAATTTATAATGAACAAAAAAACCACAACAATTTACAACAGTAGTGTGTGTTGGCTTGTCTCCATCTTTGGTGAAATCAAGTTGCAGTTTGTCCATGTAATAACATCAATACTAGATGAAAAGGTAGGTCATATATTTTGTGGACTGTGCTTCTCAAAATTAACTTCTGAATTTTATAAATGCTTTGTTGTACTGGAATTTATGGATTATATGCTGTTCAGTGTGTGGTTTATTGATTCATAATCAGACTTTTGGGGTTTGTACAGTTTAGTCAAATATGCTTGCTTGAATTACAGTTTTACCATTATATTATTGACTTTGCATCCACAAGAATTCCTAGGAACACAACACTGAGATGTATTCCCCTTCAAGTCTTGTTGTGTTGCCCACTTCTGAGAGGGAGGAGCAAAGAATAATGAGAGTGTACACCAAGAGTGTATACTCCCATCAAGGTGTGAATATCACCTCAGCTGCCAAGCTGAAGCAAGCAGACACCTATATACCAGATCGTAGCAATATAAGATAACAAAGGCAAATTAACACTGAGTGACAATGGCGAAAACAGAATTTCATGCTTGTGCAGAAGGAAGGACTGAAAACTCACAGATATTTTACCAAGAAAATTATATGAATAATGTCCTAGCTCTCTTGAAAAAAAGGAAAAGTCTGCAGTTCTGAGGAAAATGGAAGGAGAGAGAAGAAAATGACAATCATAGAATCACAAGGCTGCAAGGGTTCTTGTAGGTCTTCTAGTTCAACTCTCTGCCCAAGGAAGGAACACTTATACCTGTGATGGTGAACCTATGGCACTTGTGCTATAGGTGGCATGCAGAGAGCCATTTGTGCCAGAATGCGAGCCCCAGCCAAACCTACCTGCACTACACATGTGCGCACCTCCCAGCTGATTTCTGGCCCGTTTGAGGCCATTTTCGCCCTCCCGGAGGCTTGAGGGAAGCCTCTAGCTTTGGAAGGCTGAAAAACAGGTCTTCTGGAAATACCGGAAGTGCCTGTTTCAGCCTCCGGAGGGCCTCTGG